CTCAGGGGGCTGTCATGCGGTAGTCAACTATACAAGCTCTAAGGCGTCATACGATGAAGCTCCGAGAGTTCTAAGAATCAATGGCATTCTGATGGTTGTTGGACATCCGCAGAAGCCGCTCACTTTTACTTCCATCGATATTGCGCTTGGGAAGTTCAGGATATTGGGAGCGAGTAACTCTGTTCCACGAAATTTAAAAGAATGTATCGATTTCTCCCAGGAACACAACATCAAACCGCACGTTACTTATTACCGAAAGCTGGAGGATATTCATGAGATGATCGATCTCATGAGTAATGGAAAGGTTAAGGGGAGGGTCGCAATAAGATTTGACTAAATAGAACTGTTCCAACACGTACACACCAGAACTTATAGATCACAATCAAGTTTACTTCGTTTTCTTGTTCATGATTATTGTCAATTCGTTCCCACCAATACAGCCATGGGGCTGAGCCGCAGGGCCCCCGGATATGTGGATCCGGGGACAACATGCGGGGGTAAACTTTAATGGAAGCTTCCCTAGCCCTCACCATATTCTATTTCCCGTCCGAGAGTGTCTCAACCACCGTGCTCGCCATCAGCTACATATTTGCAAGCATACCTATGATCATGGAGGAGCAGTGGACAGATCTAAACTTTGGGCAACAGCGTCAGGGTGCAGTAAACACCAACCTACCGTCATGTGGTCAGCAACCATCGGAGAAACAGGGCCGCCCACGTGGCAAGCCGCTGGCCTGTCTATCCTGCAGACGGAAGAAAGTCAAGGTGAGCATACGATGCCTACTTTCAGTTAGGAAGTCGCTGACCGATCCAGTGCCATTCTGTTCCGGAGGACCTAGGCCCTTGTCGCCTCTGTCGAAAGATTGGCACAGAGTGTATCACGCCTGAAATCGATGAGCGGAAGCTCAGTAACTCGCGGAAAACAATCCGAGAGCTTTTAGCCCGCATATCAGCTCTAGAAGATGAGTTGACAGAGTATCGTATGTATTGCGGGCCTATATCAAATGAGCTTTTTGGGACCCAAGAGCAATCACTGAGTCCAGACGCTTCGTCAACGCTGTCTGACATGTCAAATGCTTCTGATAACATGATTGTCAGGCTCTGCGGAGGCCAGCGTCAGCTAAACAGTGACCGTGTCGGTCGACTTCGATTTTTCGGCCCAACTTCAAGTCTTCATTTGAGCGAAAGCGTTACATCATCAGTTCTTACACGAGAATCAAACGGTGCGCGCGGCAGTCACCAATGGCAGGATTACATACCATTGGAGCTACAAGGATACTTACTAGATCTATACTGGAAATATCAGTATCAGATGGTGCCGATAATCCACAAAGAAGGTTTGAAGTTCTGACCCTGACATTGCATAACCCAATGCTCACTAGCAAGCAGCTTTCCTTCGAGATTTCGAGAGCGGACAGACGAAATACTGCAGCAAGCTATTAGTCTGTTGCATTCTGACCCGTGCCGCTGCGATTTCTGACCAGCCCGGTATACGCGCGCTGGCCCTCGCAGAGGATGATACGAACGAGGATCCTCCGTATCTAGTCAGTAAATGTGCTTCTCTACTCGACGCGGAGCTGAATCGCCCCGGGATATCAACGCTACAGGCCCTTCAACTTCTCAGCGAAATCTACTGCGTTATTTCGAACGATACCAAAGGGTGGCTGGATGCAGGCGGCGCATGTCGTCTCGCGTTTGAGCTGGGGCTTCATACGGATAGCAAGACTCTAGGTTGCGCGAACCTTACTCAAGTAGACGTTGAAGCTCGCCAAATTGCTTTGTGGAGTTGCGTGAGTTTCGATAGGTCAGTCCCCCTGATTTGCTGCGGCAAAGTTCTCAACTCATATCAAAAGAATCTGGGCTCTGTATTTGGGCCGACCACAAATGATAAAGATGGAAGATATCACCGCGCAGCGGCCGGATCATCCCCCTTCAGACGCATCCCCAGAGATGAAGATCTCTGCGGCGTGGGCCAGCTTACTTGACATTGTGGGGTCGGTTTGTGATGCGCTGTGAGTTACATATGCATCTGTCCAATCCGTTCACTGACCTAGGAAAAGGAACGGTGTTCAGACAACAAAACATCGAGTGACATCTCTCGATCAAAGATTGCGAGAGTGGTGTGCGTCTCTTGATATTGTGCTTCATTACAATTCACATCAAAGCCCCGCAGTGATACTACTACAGTATGCTCCCCATATCGAAAAAACTTGTTTCATCATTAACACAACCTTCAGCATGCAGTATGCTGCCGCCAACGTACTTCTTCATCGTCCACTTGCACAATTCGGAAACCCGAGTCAAGCCACTTTGAATAATATCTCGAGGCAAATTTGTGTACAGCATGCCTGTCTAATTGCTCACTATTTGCGAGACTACCACGAGCAACAAGGAAGTGCCATGACTCTATCTTGGATAGCATTGCACATTGTTGCTACTGCATCAACAACGTTAATCGCCAATATTGCGGAGCGCTCAAGTCATTCGAACGAAGAACTCCAGTTATCTTGCCTTCAGATGTGCATACGTGCTCTAAATGAGCTAGAGAAGAGTCACCTCCCAACCAAGCGTGCAAGAAAGGTTATCCAACACGCCATGAGGCTGCTAGACCTGGAAGATAAGGTTACCATGGCTCCTCCGCTTCGGGAATTTCGAGATGTTCCACTGCCTAGCATTTTCCATCCTCTTACAGACATCAGCTGGATTGATGGGGCTAGCTGTGGCGAACCACTGCTTACAGATGTACCAGAAGCTTTCTCGTTTGACGAATTCCTCCCTGCTGGCTCACAAACTGATATGCTGCATTCATTTGGATCTTTCTTTGGGTAATACTAGTAGTGAAGACCAAACAAAGATGCAAGTATCTTTCCAGTAAGCCATGAGTACAGTAATGAAATTTCACATGTATACTAACTGAACAATGTGCGAGCAACAAGTGGTGGTATGGAAATGCCAATGAATGCGACAAATCAGTTAACAGTTTGGACAACGAGCCCCATTTCCTGGTTACATCACACATTCATGCCACTCGATGTTTGTAGCTTTGTGCGAATTAGAGATCGGCGTGTTCGGGAATGTATCAGGTTGTGTCAGAGTCGCGGTATTCAATGGCCGAAAATACAGCGTTATTGATGGATGAGGCGTTGTTATTGCCTTCCCACAGGGGCGTTCATTGGGATATGGCGAAAGTGCTTCGGTTGTAAGCCTCTAGCCAAGGAGATAGCTCAGATTACAGTAGACAGTATTGCAAGAAGTGCAGCTCAATTCAGAAGTCCCAATATCATGACATCAAAGTTCGGACCAACGCGCACCCCCTCACGTCCCTCGAGTTCACATGATGAAATCAAAAGCACTAGCACGAGGAGAAGGTAGAATCTGAGTAGGGGGCTAAGCGGACTGTTGAACCGATGAGACTCCACTAATGAATCACTAGCGGCGGCCTTGATAAGCGACCATAGCCAGTTTCAAAGGCGGTGGTTCTCGGCTTTCAAAGACCGTAGTGTCAAGCTAGCTATCCTTCCCCACGGGGTAGATGCAACCTCAAGACCGCTGCACTGGAACCAATCAACTAGATGAGTTGAGAAGGACGCTACCGGATGTGCTTTTACTCTATGAGTGGCATATTCACAATCAAACTCGTCGATTTAGCGATTCAACGATATTAATAACCAGCTTCCGCTGTACCAGACTCGACTATCGGTTCTGAAAAACATTGAGATCTTGGTGCATTGAAATTGAACGACTAAAATGGCAGCAGAGCAAAGTGAACCCAACAACCAACAGACTGAGAAGGAGTCAGGGGCACACGGTCTCGAAATGGTGGAACATGTTCCTGACTCTTCGAACGGCAGCAACAATCCCGTAAACGATATACATACAGAGATTCAAGAAACGCGTGAAGAGCGCGTAACAGCGAAAGCATGGCTTTGTGTTTTTGTAGGACTCTCATGTGCAGGCTCCCTTTTAGTAGATACTAATAACTCTAGTTGCTGTCGTTGAGCTTTGGAGTTCCCTTCTGGTACTTCTGACCTCCACAAATCTAAGGGCCAACTTGGCCGCTGACATCTCACAGGGCAACACCGACAACATCTGCAGTTGCATTCCAACTTCTCGAACGCTTTGGTGACAGCTCACTCTCCGCGTGGGTTGTCCCTTGCATTACTACTGCCGCTACCATTACTATTCTCCTGTTCGGCTGCAACTCCGATCTCTTTGGGCGACGGCCATTCCTTCTTTTCTCAAACTTCATCAACGCTGTTGGATACGCTGTAATTGCAACTTCCAAGAACTCGGATCAACTTATTGCCGGGCTCTGTCTCAACGGTGCCGGGTCGGGTACTGCTGGTGTTGCCTTGATTGCATGCCCTGAGCTACTTCCAAATCGATACAGGCATATTGGGGTGGTTCTAGCTGACGGGTTTGTCTATTTGATGATCATCATTGGACCAGTGGTTGGCCGAGCTGCCATCAACTTTGAAGATGACAGATGGAAGTATATCTACTGGGCTGGATTCATTATCTCATGCGTAGCATTCACCGGCCTAGCTTTCTTTTACTGTTGGTCTACTCTCTTGTAACAGCATACACAGACTAACATAACACCCAGTTCCCCCAAAACATCCTCGAGGAGTTCCTTGGAGAGACGCTCTGAAAGGGCTGGACTGGATAGGTGCACTTCTATTTACGCCTGGTGCTGTCATGGTTCTCGTAGGAAGTGAGTTTACTCGTGCTTTTAATCCTCTGGCAGCCTTATGTTGACTTGCCTAGTTGTCTACACCACTTATATCCCAGCTAGCGACAAGCGAGTTATTATATGCCTTACTCTTGGCTTTATTTTTGTGATAGCTTTTGGTTTTTGGGAGCAGTTCTCAGGCGTGAAGTACCCCTTGTGCCCCACTCAGATATTCAAGAGCCATAAGGGCCGTGAATTCACTGCTCCGTTTTGCTTGTCGTTCATTGTCGTCGGGTTCTTCTATGGCCTTGCAGTGATCTATCCAACAATGCTGAGTATGCTTTTTGCAACGTCCGTCATTCATGCGAGCATTTTCACTAACAATACATCCTCAGACGACTTCTACATTGATGGCAATACATCAGTATCAGAACAAATGCTTCTGACCCTACCAGCGAATCTTGGCTTACCATTTGGCGCTCTTCTACTTACACTCTTTGGTAATAAAATTGGCCACTGGCGATGGACTCTGATCGGCTCGGTCTTCTCTCTCGTGCTCTGGGGCAGTCTCATGGCTCTTGTCACGCCATATAACAAGGCCATGATGATCGCATTTGTGGTCCTTGGGCAGATTTCCTACGGATGGGCCGCATACTTGGCAGTGACTTTCACCCAGCTTGGAGTCCCCCAGATCTACCTTGGCATCTCTGGTGGACTTGCTGGGCTGGCCCGATACGCTGGAGGTGCTGTCGCATCCGCTTGTTATTCTAGTGCCATTGGAAACGGCCTGAGCACCAAGGGAGCAGAGCTCATCCCTAAGGCAGCACTTCGTGCTGGTCTTCCAGAATCATCCCTGGAGGAGTTGATGGCAGCAGTGAGTAAAGGAATAGCCACTGTTGGGAATGTTCCTGGCGCAACACAAGCTGTCGTGACAGCCGTAGAAACAGCATATAAGCAGGCAGCAGCTTTTGGTCTTCGGTGCGAACATATATGCACTCTTACTTGATTGACAAGATCTAGGATGGCTAATTATCTCGTTAGCAACGCCGCCCTCGCTTCGCTAGCTTTTGGAGTGGTAGGAATTGGCTTGGCTATTGCTTGCGAAGACATAACTCCCAAGATGACTAAGAAGATTGAGATTTTCCTGGAGAATGATGCTCTTGCGGAGAAGAATAAGTTTCACTAAGAACTGAACCTCAACGGCAGGAGATTCGTGTGTAGGGGCCTATCATTCGTATTCAATTGGATCTCTGACTTGGCGTGTATCGCATCGAAGGTCGAATTAGAATCCCAGGAAAATCACTGAGGGAAATATTGCATGTCTGATCTCATATTGACCAAGACTAGTCTCGACGCTGCCTTGAAGTCTGCCAGATTATATACATCCAAAGGTGACTTCAATAAAATTCTCATCTTTAATTTATGGAACTCCCGGTGATCCCACATCCAAATTATTGTCGAACGTAATAGCACTGGGTTTCGCATTCGTGATTTGATTCGGAAAAGATGAGTCCTTGAGCGCGATATTTGCAGAGCCAAAATCATGCGCATACAGCAGATCACGGATGCCAGCTGGGAAGCCATTGTATGAGACGAGATCACCCCTGAACCAAACGCCCTTGTGGTTCTCAATGGCATCGTCAGCAGCAGTGGCGAAGCGGAAACAATGTGTGCTGATTCCATCTTTGTGATACACCATCTTAGGGTGTTCTCCATCCCATCGAACGTCGGCCGCTGCCTTGATCTCGTAACCGCCATGCTGCGAGGCGGCAACATATTGAGCCGTGTTGTCCTTGACCCACACAGCGATATGTTCCCAGTCATGGGTATGGCCGGTGTCAATGAGATACTGGAGTGCAACATCCTTCTCAAAGTAGTAATCATAGATGTAAACACACCATCCATTGTTGCAACGTTGACGAGAATAGACATTATTGTTATTCAAATCAGACAGATCCCGGCAATCTGTTGACAATCCAACGAACTACATGTCCTCGAATTAGTGATAACAGTGCAACATTCACGAAGATCCCAACTCGAGAACGAGGTCCTCGCCGCTAACCCTAGTTCTGGTTTTTGCTTACATTATGTGGAAGACCCTGAGCAATGTTGCCGTCTTTATCGATGGCAGGAACATTATAGCAGCTATCAGTGTCAAAGTCGAGGGACGGTTGCCAACGAAGATCATTGGCTGTAGCCTTCTGTGGCAGAGCTGTGGGGGGATTCACAGCTCTTGGACTGACAATTGCTGGGACGGCGCCGATGACTTGAGCCGAGGCCAATACCAGCGCGATAGCGGTGCGCAGTCTCGCGAATTTCATGGTTTATTCCTGTTCTAATGCTCACAGTAGATGGCTTATCCTCATGGGAATATGTAGCTGCCGAGTGTGAGAGAGAGAGCATCCGCCACTTCAAAGGGTTGCCTTGAGCTTTTATAATGGCTTCAATTGAAGGCTTGGCTGCATCGTGGGAGCGACTCAATTCGCATGTTGTCCAACTTGCACGAAGAGCCCATAAACGCTTTCTGGAAGCAGGACAAGCCCGACAGCAACGTTGCGAGATGCAGCGCGACCTGCGCCATATGTACACGTGCAATCAACAAGGGCATTACTTGGAGAGGTTCCTGGGTGAAAGGCATGTGAACATGGCATGAAACCCTGGCAGACGGCCCCTGGACTTTAAACACCTGCCCCTGTGATTGCATCAAGCGAGCTATTTCCAAGTCTTTCCAGGGGTGTTATGGCCGTCATTGGGCTGCATGTTACATTTGCGCCATCTTGCAGCTCTAGACTAGCCAATGGTGTCAGTAGCTACGGGCGTGTGTTTCGCCGATGGTAGCCAAGAAACACCAAGGCGGCGAGAGATCGTTCCCCGCGCTGTCATAGGCTAACAGGGAGATGCGTGGTCTGAATACCTTTGTGTATTGGTTATCTGACCTGTGAATGTCTTCAGACTTAAAGCCTACATGCGCGGGTGTGCTCTTAATAGAAAACTAACTATCCTGAAGGCATTGTAGGAAACTCTGCTAAGAGTTGGTCTGAATTGGTTTAGGCGGTTTCTTGCGAAAACGATATTCACAATACCACCATCACACTGTCCAGGCAGATTTGATCTATTTGCACTTGGGGCATTTGAGGACTATTGAAACCTGCTAAAGCTCATCCGTACTCCAAGACCGTCGTCAAATATGCAATGCGGCTTCAACAAAGAATAACCCGTGAGCACCCTTGACCCAACCTTTTCATATCCTGTACAGCGTAACTAGTATAACAACCTCACCCTTTACACCTCCTCACTAGCGACAGCCTCATAGGCTCCTCTCCTTCCCCCCATGGACCGACCGCCTATCGTCATTAAAGATGGGCTCTCGTACATCTCAGTGTAATTGACGACCTGGCCATCGAGCATCGCCGCACCAAGCTCCCGCTGGCCAAAGACAGGGGCCGGGTCGCACCAGAAGTCCTTGCAGTTCGTAATGCATCCACGGCTGTATGGGTTCTTCTTCCGCCGCTTGTTCTTGCCGCCAGCGGCAGCTCCACGGCCCGTGGCTGTCTCAATAAAGGCATCCACGCCAAGGAGCTTGCCCCATTGCTTGAGGAAGCCGCCGCCATGCTTGTGTCCATGATGCCCACCTGGGCCTTGGATGTCTGGCTGGCCATTAGCACCAGAAGGCGGCACGACGTCTGGATGATTCGGGTCGAGAGGTGCGCCTGTAGATGTGAACGCTGATGTGAGGGCGCTTGCTGAGCGATGATCGATTCCAAACATGTTCTCATAAGTTGTCATTGCCCGAGACACCTGGAGGAACTGAACGAATAGCAGCATCGAAACCCATGTTAGCTGAAGCGTTGCCCAGAATCCAAGCAGGAGGGTGTAGGCGTCAGCGTTCACCACCTTGCAGAGGGAGGGAGAAAGGATGTTGCACTGGTCCGAGCTGCTGCCAGATGTCGCGGAGAAATAATAGTACAGCATCCAGTCATAGACGATAATACCGAACGTGAGATTAATGAGGTAGAGGAAAAAATGCCTGTGGTTATTGACGCCAATGCAATTGTAAACCCAAGGACAATGGCTGAGAATAGGCGTTAGCTCAAATGAATGCCAGAAAGAGTCTCGTGAGCTTACTGGTCATGTCTGGCCACACATCTCTGACACCTTCTGCAGTGTTTACTCCTGAGCGGAGTCCGGATCATGCACGTAACACAGAAATTGGATTCATCAAACTTCCATAGGCTGATAAGTTCGTCGATGACAGCCTTCTGTTCCGCAATACCGCTCATTTTCGGCACGAATCCTGGGTCGTTCCTCATACACGCTATGTAAAAGTAGGCAATAAGGCTGTAAAAGAAAGCAAACGAGGCATTAAGAAGCCAGTGTTTGTGATCGGCATCTAGTCGTCATCAGCAAGTGCTTTAATCTCCATGGCGGATAGCGTACCAGCTTTGAATGTAGTGTTGGGCAGGATGGTGAAGAACCAATTCATGCCAATCCAGAATAACGACGCTGCAAAGATTCCTGCGAGCCAGGGCTAGGAGATTATGTCAATGAATTTGAATGAGACGTAGACGAAAAGAATAATCTAACCGTTCTTTGAAACTGCCGCATGTCTGGCGGTGCGTGCTCCAAGACACGAACGGCCACCCATTGTAGCGTGTAACCAGCTAGTAACGATAACGGCACAGCCGCAAATACAGGCATCCCAGCCAGGACTACAATCATAGCCCATACCATCACAAACGGCCACAGGAAGGTGAACTTGGTGACAAACCCGCGCTTGTCCTTCAGCAAGTACGTTGCCCCGGGGAAGCACGGGTTGACAGCATGGCCATCTTCATCGTAACCACACTCCTTTAGCGCCTTATGCCATGCTCCTAGAGTGTTGAGTTCCTGCGCCGTGATAGCTGGTGTCTTTCCGGTCTGTGTTTTGGCGAACCGATCCGCGCCATATTCAATGAGTTTTTGCACGCAGCCTGGGCTGCCCTTCACCAGTGCCCAGTGTAGTGCTGTGAACCCTTGCTCATCCGTTGCATGAACATTGGCACCCCATCGTAGAAAGACGTCCACGCAGGCTGGGAATCCCTTGTATGCGGACCACATGAGGCCGGTGTGGCCGAAGGAGTCGAGCACATCGACGGGAATGCCGCTGTGCAGCAGAAGGACAATCAAGAAGACGTTCCCGTTGAAGGTACTTATATGAAGCGTGTTGTATCCTTGCGCGTCGGTGATGAGAGGGTCGGCCCCATGCTGTAGAAGCAGGTGGACTGTGTAGTAATGGCATCGCTGGGCAGCCCATTGGAGCGGGGTGGCCACGGACTCGCCGCCCTTCTTGTTGATCTCGGCGCCGTTCTCGATGAGGAACTTGCACATGGCATATTGATTGTTGATGGCGGCCCACTATGAAAGACCCGGAGGTTAGCCTATGCATGCCCCGTTGCCGCCCAGTAGCCCGGCCGGGTGGTCCGGCTGATGGAGGACAATGCCGATTGTCCGGGAGAGGACGGATGGGCATCGGCATCGGATATACTCACGTGTAGGGGCGTTATACCCTCGTCATCGGTGTATGTGGCATCGTATTCCTGGGACTCGAACAGCTTCTCCATGCCGGGGACATCGCCGACACGAGCCAGCTGCATGATGTCGCCGGCGCCCAAAGGGACCCCGTCAGCGGGCAGACTGCCCATCTCCATCTCGTTGTTGAGCTTGGGGGCGGCGGTCGAGCCCTTGGAGGACGGTTGTATGGGAGCCACAGCAGCGACGGGGCTTGTGGTTTGGTTTTGCGCCATCTCGAGTTGCTTGGCGGGCGGCTTTGTGAAGCTGCCTGTCGCCGCTGTTGTTGTCGTCGTCGTCGAGTCGAATCGAGTCGAGTCGAGTCGAGTCGCGTGAATGGAGGAAGGGCGTGCTGTAAGTCTAGGTCGGGAGGCTGAAGGCAGTCTACTCGTGCAGGCGCATTACGACGAATATACGGAATAATGACTGAAATACGTTCTTCCTGCGTATGAAAGCAGCATCCAGTCGTCTCTCTGTGGTGATACTCGGAGAAGGATAATGGGTGGTGTTTTCGTTGCGACGCAAATCAATCCAATCCAACTTCAGCTTTGCTCAGCCATCCAAAACTCGCGGACATTACCTAACATTACCTAGGTACTTCTAGGTAGCAAGGCTGAATCCACATACAACTACCTAGGTACCTAGGTAACTAACCTAACTGGCTGCGCCCCGGTTACGTGGCCCAAGCGCCGCTGTCAGGCCCAAGCTGCTGCTGTGCTTCAGCCTCACCCACTGCTTCCATAGCCGATGCTAAGGGGGTTAGCGGCCTCTTGAGCACCGTTGCTAGTGGATTAGACGCTAAGTCCTCGAGCACTGGTTAGGTAGTGTTACAGGGCTTGCCACCCACCATAAATATACCTACCTAAGCACACCTCAGTATGGGCACAGCTGGAGGTGGGGGTCCCACAAGTCGTCGCAAATGTCAGTCTACATGAGTGAGGATTTACTAATACGACTGGACTGACGTCGTGTTGTCTTCAACGGAAATCGTTCGATCCCGCCAAAAGCCCAATCTCCGGCCTCAATCCCGCCGCCGTCGCTCGCCGGGCCTCCTTTTTCGGCATCTTGCACAGTAGCTCGTTTTTATTCCTCCAAATCATCTCTGCTGCTTGCTTCTTCTCCTTTCTCTTGTTCCTTTTTTCCATTCGAGAAGCGCGGGCGACAACGAAGGGGGCGCGAACAAACGAAGCCAGCCAGGCCGCCGCCAAGATGGACAACTTCAAGAATGCCGTCGAAACCATCATGACGCCCTCCATGCCGGTGTTCGTGATTGGCATCGCCATCGTGCTCCTTGTGCCTCTGATTCTGCACTTCTACCTCAGCCATAAAGGCAGCTACACGGTCCTGCCCTCAGTCCTCCTGGCTGGTCCCTCCGGCGCAGGCAAGACCTCGCTCCTGACGCTCTTCGAACGCAAAGCTCCGACGACGACACATACATCCCAGACTTGGTCGGCGGTCGAGCTGGCCATCAACGAGGAGGGCACATCCTCTTTCCGCGACGATCTTGACGCCACTGGCAGTACCGCGAGAAAGTTTCTCATCGTCGACACTCCTGGCCATGGCAAGCTAAGACATCACGCCTTCACGAGGTTGACTCCGCCCGCGACGGCGTCGGCAAAGCTGAAGGCGGTCGTGTTCATGGTGGACGCCGCAGCGCTCTCCGAGCCCGAGGTCCTCGCCTCGACAGCTGCCTACCTATACGATATCCTGCTGATGCTGCAGAAGCGCATGGGCAGCACCAAGTCGTCCAAGGCGCCGTACACAATCCCCCTGCTGATCGCGGCCAACAAGCTCGATCTGTTCACCGCGCTCCCCGCTGCGTTGGTCAAGAGCAACCTGGAGGCCGAGCTCGGACGCATACGAAAAACGAGGAGTAAGGGTCTGTTGGACTCCGGGGTGGGCACGGACGAGATTGGGGCGGGCAGCGAGGAGAATGATGACTGGCTGGGCGAGTATGGCAGCGGGAAGTTCTCCTTCAACCAGATGCGGGAATTCGACATCGACGTGGACGTGATGGGCGGCAACATTCAGGGCGGGGATGGCCCCGGCGTGGACAAATGGTGGACGTGGATTGGAGACAAGATCTGAGAAACACGTAGCTTCCGGTAATAATTGTAATACAAAGTCAATGCAAGGTCTCTCTGGTCTATTGAAATGATCCAAGTTTCCGCCGCCAGGTCCCCAATAGCATGGCGATTTCTTTGTCTACCTGAATTACCCCATCGCTAACCATAGACGTTGAGTCTAGGTGTACCCTCGGTGCTGAGCGCACGTAAGTTGAAACTAACGCCACTCCCATGTCCGTCAACGCCTGCAATGACCATAGCTCGACTCCTGTTTTATCTATTTCTTGGACTGCTTCAGCATCCATGTTAAGAGATCTACTTTAGTCACCACTGCCACAGGCTTCTTCCCTTCACCACCCTTCTCCGTAACGACAGCCGCACTGTTCCACTCCAGGAACTTGCTGAGCACCGTAAGTGGCGTGTCTAGTGTGATTTCAACAAACTTCCGCTTCTTGCTCGATCCTGCTGCGGTCTCGGTGTTGATGTCCCGCGGGTCAGTGATGACCTCGTCGAGTCTGCCAAAGTCAAACATGACATCGCTCACAGGACTTGTGCCACTTGCGCGGCCATGCGAGATATATGATAGCAGGTTGCCGAGAGTGACCAGCCCGACCAGTTTACCACCCGTTGGTGAAAGCACTGGCAGCTGATCGAAGCCCTTGTCCCGCATGGTTTCGACAGCCTCTGAGCATTTGCTCGTGCTGACCACGGAAGTTACTGGCTTCAGTCTCAGATCTCTAATAACTCCACCACCGTATGGGTCGCTGGGACGGCGCCTCGATTGTGCCTGGGCTGCTGCCTCGACCTCTGCGCCGTTGACAGAGGGCAAGAGGTCGTTGGCGGCGAGCCAGTCGTCATCGGCAAACTTGGACAGATAGCTTCTGATGCTGTCGGGTAGCAGTACCACGACGGTATCTTCCTCTCCCAAGTTGAGGTCCTTCACAGCTCTTGTCATTGCCGCCATTGCGCTCCCCGAGGAGCCGCCGACGAGCAGTCCCTCCTCAGCAATCAGACGCCTAGCGTACATGAACGCCTCACGGTCGTCGGTCTTGTACCACTTGTCAACTGCCGCCTGGTCAAGGACATCCGGGATGAAGTCATAGCCAATGCCTTCCACCTTGTATGGGATATTCGCCAGCTCGCCCTGGTTCAGTGTCTCGGGCAATGCCAGGATACTCCCATACGGATCCGCCGCCACGATCTTGATGTCCTTGTTGTGCTTTCTCAATCCCCTCGCCAGACCAGTAATTGTGCCGCCTGTGCCGGCTCCAGCCACGACGGCGGTGATCTTGCCCTGTGTTTGTTCCCATATCTCCTCTGCCGTTCCGAACTCGTGCGCCAGCGGGTTGTCCTTGTTGGTGTATTGGTCGAGAATATGTGCGTTCGGAAGCTCCTTCTGCAGACGTCTGGCAACGCCGATGTGTGATTCTGGACTGTCCCATGCAGCCTGGGTGGGTGTGCGGATGATGGTGGCGCCAAGAGCGCGCAGGACCGAGACCTTCTCTGCCGACATTTTCTCGGGGAGGGTGATGATCGTCTTGTAGCCTTTGATAGCGCCAACAAGAGCGAGCCCGATGCCACTACGAAGGGGCCAAAATTAGCATTCGATTTCAACGCTGGTTGTCGCGAAAACGAGGGGATACTTACGTGTTGCCGCTCGTAGGCTCAATCAGAGTGTCGCCGGGCTTGATGCGCCCGCTCTTCTCGGCTTCTTCGATCATGCGCAGGGCAATGCGATCTTTGACGCTGCCGCCCGCATTGAAGAGCTCGACTTTGGCGTAGACCTTGGCCTTGATGCCCAGCGATTGCGGGATCTTGTTCAGGCGCACTAAAGGAGTGTGGCCGATGAGCTTGGTCGCGTCTGCGAAGCCAATGGCTCCATCGACATCCGTGGTGCCATTTGTCGTCGCCATGGTCAGTAAGCAATCGAGGAGGCGCTCCTCGGAGACTTCGTTGGAGGAAGGGTGATTCGACGAAGGTATGATGGCAGGATCAAGATGTGGTTGATCTCGACGAAAGATTACTCGCCGACTTGCAACTCGTGCCTGGCGGTAGCTCTTTGCAGAAGTAGATTCTTACCTCTCTTCACTGTCATGTGTTTATCCAGGTACGTCCAGACATCGGCAAAATTGGAGGCAAATATGAGGTGATACTTGGTTGCTAAGCCGATAGGTGCATTCTGCCCCGCGATCAGTGCCGACGCTAGGCGGCTCTAGCCTGCCCCCAAGATCATAGACCTTGGTTCATCAATCACTTCTCAATACGTGCTATAGAAGAGGCAGGTGTTCAAGACAGATATATTTAACCGATCACCTTCTCATTCCGCATCATGCATGGACATAGTGCCTATTTGTGAGATGCAGTCAAGAGTAAGAAGCCCCGTTCAAATACTGATGACTTTGTCAAACTATCCGCCGTTGAGAATGCACCCCTGAAAAAGAACCACCCACCCCCGCCGGGAGTCGATGTGTGCCGTCACGGACGAGATCAAGCTCATCAGCTTCATGTTCAAAATGGCTCCTTTGGTAATTCGATATACAACCGTTCTCTGTTCTTTTCTTTTTGATAGACAGGTCAGTTGTGTTGAATATCTCTTCCGTGAGGTTTAGAGGACCTGGTATAACTACGTAAAAGTTTTCATTGTCATTCGGAATGACTACGTCGAGCCGCCAAGTCTCGTGCATGAAACGGGAATGGCTCTCTGAATCCGAGCGAAAATTGAGTGAGCCAAAACTTAGATTGTAGTAACATATATATCATAATCCATAGGGACTAAAGACGATCTAGCACGAGCAAGTCTTGGTTGCCATCATTAACATGAATATCGTAAATAGGTTCATACTCGCCTTTTACAAAATTAACATTGCGGACTAAAATTCCCCTCCCCAGGCTCCGAGTGCTTCTAGGTCTTTGACAGCCGAGCGGTCTGATTCTTCTATATGCAATGTTTCCCAAAGCAGTCGATTATAATCCGGAACGCCTATAAAGCTACCTCATAGGGTCGCTCGCCATGATTAAGTGCGCCATGCTCGAGCCTGACATCTCGAACTGATCTCCTTCTTGCAACGAGACAAGAACTCCTTTATGGAAATGAATCCATGATGTCTACTCCATTAACCACGAGAAGCTTGGTATGACTGTTGCCTTTGATCGACATCGCATCGTAAGTTCTCTGGAGACCAACTTTAGAGCTTCCTGGGAAGACATGCGTCTCGAAGAAGTCTGGTTCTTCATTTACCGTTCTTGCATAGGCAACCAATGAAGACATTGACGACATAATGACACCAATAAACACCTTTGCTTCTACCAAAGCATTGTACTCGACAATGCCTTTCTCGTCAAAGGATAGAGCGTCCAGCTCAGCCAGCTCAGTTGGACTATCCGCCAACAATGTCCACTTGTCATGAACTGTGTATCCAAGCGGCTGTAATATTTGTCGGAACCGTTGAGTGGCTGTCTGATCCCCAGAGCTGACATAGACAACCCGCGTGCTCTCGTCATTGGCGGCGTACATCTTCTGAACCTCCTCAGAGTAGAGTCGCATCTGATCATCTGCGGATCCGAAGGACGCGGGCCAATCGTTCTCACCCCTCAAATGAATCCCGATAAAGTTCCCGCCGAGGAGCTTCTCGTTCTTCGAAATGCTTCGACTCTTGTCGAGGAGGGACTGACGGAACGTTATCGTCTTGAAGAGAGCTTTGCGTGTTGTTTGAAGTTCATTAGAATCCCTATAATTCCAGCCAATATACGGGTCGGAAAATTGTAGTACGACTGGATTTTCCGGTGTGATTCTGGCGATATCAATGTCGGCAGACTGTAGTGCTCCGTGTGCTGATTGCTGAAACGTCCCTTGATGGAAAGCAGCCTCGAGATACATCCTCCCCGGCGCTTCGACCACTGTTACACCTTCGCGGCCATCCTCACAAAATTTCATCTGAAGCCTTGGGCATACTTCTTGGACTGATTTCTCGAGGTTGTCGAGGTTCCACCAGATATCCGGACAGGCAAGGTTGCCATTCGTATCTACTAGATTGTCCTCGTGCCTTGTTGCCAGTGACGGTATCATGACTCCAGCTCCTGCATCAATAGCAAGCCTGATGCAGGTCTGCACTCGATTCCTCGCATTATTAAGTCCTCCGCAGAAAGATAACTGATTATCCCCGCAGCCGCTGTGACAATGAACCCATAGCCCTTCTGTCCAGGTGGTATTGTCGCATAAACTCTTCAACGCTTGCATGTCTGGGCTTAGCGATGCTGACGCCGCCTTGCTTCCGCCAGAAAGAACATCTTGAATCTGTTCATTGAGCTGATCTACGTGGAAAATCTCGCCAAAGCCATCCACGTAGTCGGAGAATGTCCTAGGCAGCTGTGGCCCGAGTGTGGACAGAGAAACAAGCGCACATAGAAGCAGCAACGCAAGTAGAAAATTATAGTATCCCCTACTATTCAACATGTTGAATCGTGCATACAGAAGAAGCTGCGGGACTGCGGGACTCGTGAATGTGATTCAGTGTGACAATACGGGGAAGCAGCTGAAAGGACATTCGTGAGCGTTGTGTCAGTTGGATCAGTCCGGGGAAGCAAGACCAGACCGGGACAGCTTTACGGAGGACCAGGCACCGGGTCTCTCCCTTTTTGTCACGGTCCAGATCGCGACATCTGGAAGATTTTGTTTCAGCACCCATTACCAAGACGCGGGCGACACTCCCTGTTGAGCTTCATTAGGGTCCTCTAATCTAGCAACTATCGCCCTTGGTTCATGAAGTGCTGCAAAAGGGGCCGCGAGCTATCAGAGGCCAGCGCGCCACCAAAGCATGCCTCGAGCATCTCTCACTAAGATGCTAGCCATTCCAGTCAACCCTAACGAGAAGTCGATGAGTCTATCGGAGATTCGGTTCTATTCGCCCTTGCGCTATGGAGAGGGCAAGCGAGGTTCATAAACCTACTATCCACTGCTTATCAACGCAGTCCCGCGGTAAGGGCGCGCATGAGAGGGCACCCCGAATGGTTAGTCCGGCCCAAGAAGCATGCCATGTCTCGATTGAGTTCACTCTAGGGGGGCTATTGGAATGGTGCGGTCCAGATGCGTCGACGAATCAAAACTCTAACGACAAACAGAAACTATAAAAAATGCTAGTGTCTTGCTTGCGGCATTGACGCGTGACGCCACGCGACGCCTTCGGGTCTTAGTACAGCCTCACAGCCCTCGCTATTGAACAGACAGCCAGCCACAGACACAAGGGCCAACAAGGGTGAAGAGACTTTGCCTGAGGTTGCTTCTTCCACACAGCCAACTGCCCATCGCAAACGCCCCTGACCCAGTAAGCCTCCTTTACCCTGCAGTGAGGCTGGCCCGATTGGCTGCAGGACAATTAAGCTTAGCTGGTATGCTTGTAAACGCGGCTGATCCGCTAGTCTCCATCTCTGCCCTGTCAGATCTCCTCGCTTGCTATCTGTAGCATACCGAAGCTCTACTAGAAGCATCGCATCAACCCAATTTCTTAGCTGATCGCTAGCATTCAGCCATGTTTATAGTTGTACCATTTAGGTTGCGATATGCACGCGCTGGGCTGCCACCCGGCCAATGTCGTCAAGATGAACTCGGTTAGTCTTACATTTCAGACACGCCCGGAGGCGACTTGGGATCTGCCGTGCAAAAGAAACGCGGGTTGATCAGTTAAGACTGATTGCACCCCAAGTAGGCCAGCCGTGGTAGCTCCCGAGAGTCACTTCACTCTGCTTTATGCCGGTTTTTTCATCCTTGCCATCAGGTTTCCATATCCTCAACGCTGTAGGGTGCCAGTCTTGGCAATATGCTTTCATCTCTCTGGAGGCAGATTCCACTAGGAACCTCAGATGATCCGAGCTATGTCGCTCTTCAGCATACAGATAGTGCTGAAGACAATGGCAGCGGAACACACGGGGGAGACGACTTCGGCTTGAGCCAGGAAAAGGAAGTTCAAAGGCCTCAGAGGAAGTTCATAGCTCGTGCTTTGGGTTCCTTGACGGTGCTTATGCCCAGTTTCCTTCAGCGAAAGGACACTAAGGAACGTCGAAAGCTACACTCAACCGCATGGCTCGGTACGTGCCCCAACCTGCTGAGAAAGACTCCGTCACTGACTCGTTGAAACTACAGACGGCCTACGTGGAGTCGCAGCAACGTTGGTTGTGATACACCACTCCAGTCTATTATGGTTCTCCTGGTCTATACACTCTGCCTGGATACCAGGTGAAACGAACTGGTTCATACAACTTCCATTCATCCGTCTTATCATTGCAGGGCCGCCCCAGGTCATGATTTTCTTTGTCATTTCTGGTTATGCGCTCAGCTATAAGCCAATAAAGGTCTCACGCCAGGGCCGATATGACGAACTAAGCAGCGCACTTGCTTCCTCAATATTCCGACGCCATCCGAGGTTGTTCATGCCTGCTATCTTAGTTACATTCTGCACAGCTATCCTAACATGGCTTGGAGCATTTGGTACGGAGGGCTGGGGAGGTGTTGCAATTGCATCGCGGCAACCTCCACGATTCGATAATCTCTGGGATCAGCTTTCGAATTGGTCGAGAACAATGATAGGCGCAATGGACCCATTGGGGAGAGACATGTTCCGTGGAGGGACACAATACGATCCCAATCTTTGGACGCTACCGATTGAATTTGACAGCTCGTTGGTCATCTTTCTCTGCTTAGCTGCCTTCTCCAGGCTGTCCAACAGAGTCCGGATGCTCTTTACATTCGCTGTCGCATTCTATGCCGAATATTACACATTCTACCCCGTATTTCTGTTCATGGCAGGCATGTTTATCTGCGAGGTCCGTATGTCCTGCGACGAACGTGCGGGAGCAACAGCATCATCCGATAACAGTGTCCTACCGTCATGGGCCGAAAAGCCTAGAGGTTGGCTATCAC